AAATTATAATTAACTGCAAATATCTATAGTGGATTCTCATAGATTAAAACAGGACATATTTTTAATGAATTTTGGAATTTTCTCAAATCTATTAATTTATAGTGGTTTTCATATTGATAAATTTTTAAAAAATTTATAGTATCATAAAAATTATTAATATAAATTAATCTACATAAAGTAGTTTAATCAATTATGAACATGTAAATTTAAGCGTATATGATACAGCAAAACTTCATTGCAATTTAATCTCTAATGTTGGCTAAAATCTCGAATTTTATTCCAAGTTATAGTTTAGCAGACATTTTATAATAAAGATATCTAGCAACTTTTATAATTTTGTTATTTTTATAATGAAATAAGCGTTAAGATAATATTTGTAATAAACTTTATTTATAAATATTTGGATATAAAATCTATAAATACAGTGATTGTGTCATTTAAAAGAAATACTGATTTGTTAAGTACTGTATTAAAGGGATATATTTACAATAGATTTTGGAAATCTTAATTAAATTACAATAATATTTATTTAATTCACTATATGTTAGACTAAGACCAGTGTTAATATTGCCATCACTTTTGCACTCAATTACCTGAAAACCTGCTTATTATTTGAGTATTTGGTACTCCCATACAAGTGAACCAATTTAAAGGAAGGGATGATTACTAAGCATTGCTTATAGAGTGGGGTATTCCGTACTGTTGTGTCCATATAATAAGCGGGTCTCAAAGAAGTGAATGGACTCATCACATGTTAAGTACTTTACAGTAATAGTTAATAATTCGTTAATTATGTGGAGCTCTATATCCTTTCATATAAGAGATCCATCGTTTGGCAGTGGTTTGGAAAATGAGTTTATTTTCAATAGTGTTCAGAAAGAGGAGTTGATTGATATGAGTGGAGTGGTAGTCCCAACGCGCCCTATTCGGTGCACTACCCAAACCTAAATGCCGTAAATCATACAAAGAACCCGAACCCGAGTCAAACAGTGGTAACATTTGCTCCAATGACTCGACGCCTTGTCTATAGAGTAGACCGGCTTTCACGCAATAGCTATCATTACCACTGACTGACAGGTCGTACAAACCGAACAACGAGTATATGAAACCATTCAATACATAAGTACTCGGAGTTGTCGGGTATTCTTCAAACCAAACATATTTATCCATAAATTTAGTCCGAATGCCATTGTCTTTAGAGTCGATATCAAACAAATTTAATGCATTTTTGGCACAAATCAAGTACTTGTGGTTACGTGTATGCGTATAGAGTCGTATGAGAAGGGAGATGGCCTGTCCCTGTGCCATAGCTGAATACCAACCACTTTTCAGTTGTAGCGCACCGTTAGATAACTTTCTGTTCACATTAATACTGAAGCCTCCGTTGGACTCCTGATTGGCAACAAACCAATCGCCGGCTGTCTTCGCATATGTCTCATGTGCTGATGATTGGAGTCTAATGTTAGCCAATAATGCCTTTCCATTCATTTCCAACCGAATTAACTGCATATTCCGTGCCTTAGCCCCCAATTTCTTCTCTTTGATATTCAGACCTTTCTGGAGATCAACTCCAAGATCTCTCGTCAATGACTTCCATTTCTGTTGAGTTCCCATTCCATAGATTATCTCATTGTTTGAGATCCAAATGTCTAACTCAGATGTCGTGTAAACAATTGAAAATTCTTTGGAAGAACTGCTGGAATAAGCTTTAAGAACAGCTGTCAGCGAAAAGTTGGCCAAAGGTTTGACATCAAAACTGAGAGTCAAATCATTGACTGATTTTCGTTTAATATTCATAATTATATTCAATCCGTCGACTGATATAACCTTATGTTGCGGTCTGTCGTCGGATTCAATTCGCTTTAAGACAGCGTCTTCTGGAACCACATAAGTGGCTGTCCGTCGGTTCAGAGTATCTCCGGAATCGAGTGCAACGACTCGTGGTTTGCCGGCAGACAAGTGCTTAGAGAAGTGACTCAAACCAAACTGTGCTATTTGTATGGCATAGGAGTGGCCACTGGACTGCCATTGGCTGGAAATGGGAACTCCGGTGATGGCAGACACACATCGGACCCGATCTCTCACTTCGACGTTATAGTTGTCGAACCAGAGGAAGGCCTCGTTTTCATGATACGTGTGTTTCGGGAAATACACTCTCGAGTAGCTGTGACTCCATTCAAACACCTGCTGTCCGTCCTTCGAGTCCACGATTTTGCCGTTTATTTCGAAATACTTGTGAAGAAAAGCAAACGGAATATAAACCGAGTCTTCGGTCGCACTCCGGAGGCATTGGATCTCAAACTCTTCGTTAATGAGACAATCGATTGGTTGGTATTTCTTGGGACTCACTCTTTGGTCAGATTTAGAGATCAGTTTCGATGCAATACTTCCAGTGTCTGATTGTGTGGACACAGACTTCAGATGAGGAGTGAGTCTTGAGATTGAATTCCAAGTGATTATACAAATCAATGCAAAACTAATGACCGCTAAAACCCTTTTCACATGAAATTTCATATTATTTTCATTGAATTATATATTATTAACAAAACGTTTGATGTCTTCAAACAACACATGATTTTGTGGTTAAACTAACCATTCATTTGTCAAAACAGTAACCATTTGACAGTGAATTGAGTGAATGTTTACAAAACAATCGTTGCTTTCATTCATAAATTACACACATCTTTGAGGCCATCACTCATTGTATGAGTCGTTCACAAAAGACATCACAAATTGACGAATCAAACCACGAGTGAAATGCAACACAAAAACCACGAGTAAGTGAGTGTATGACTGATCCCTCCCCTCCACAGCCATACGTCTTATACTGATTTGACGACAAATTATCGTTTGACTATTGTTTGAGTGATTGTGTGACTGAAGATGTCTTTGAATCAGACCAACGATCAGACCGAAGAGGACGCGACTGAACTGCAGTTCCCCAAAGAGTTTGAGAAGGCGGAGACACTACTGATCTCAGAGGTGGACATGTTGTTAGAGCACCGGAAGGCACAGAACGAGTCGGCAGAGGAGGAACAGGAGCTGTCGGAGGTGTTTATGAAGACGCTGTCCTATTGTCAGCGATTCAGTCGCTATAAGAATCGCGAGACCATCGCAGCCGTGAGGAGTCTGTTGACGCAGAAGAAGCTCCATAAGTATGAGTTGTCTCAGTTGGCTAACCTTTGCCCCGAAACGCCCGATGAGGCCAAGGCTCTCATTCCCAGTCTCGAGGTATGACACCATCCCTTCCCATCCCATCACTCACTCATCCATTGCTTCACTTTAGGGCCGCTTTCAAGACGAGGAACTGAGACATATTCTGGACGACATTCAGACTCAAAGAAGTCTTCAGTACTAACAGAGGCGGCGGTGCTTCACAACCAACTCATCAATGCTTTCCTTATATTTCTTATTTTTAATGATTATTTTATTCATTCAAATCGTTTGTATTTTATTTCAAATATTTGTAAAAATCATTAGAAATGATTGCTTTTAAAATAGTTTCATTAAAAGTGTAAAAAGTATCAAAATTAAAGACTAGTATTGATGTCATTTTGGTGTCTAATGGCAAACATATCTTCGAGGAGTTGCCATAAACAGCACTCTTTGGGAAAGTCATTGTCCACTAAATTGACTAAATAATAGTTATCGTGAATATAGTGGAGTAAAGCGTGAGATCCACTCTTTTCATCGTAAAGTTGCGCCCACTTTTGAATCCATAGCCCGAATGCCTCGTCTTTCCATATTTTGAACGAAATCGGGTCCACGACTGTTGGCTATAGAGCACAACCACAACATTACATACACTCCTTCATTGCTATTGCAAATGCAATCAATTCATACCTGAATTATCTCTTTGCCGGGAAATACACCCCACGTCACAGCTATCGGTGTTTTCGACTGAGAATTTGTGAAATCATGTTTGCCCTACATTTGCATAATATAACAGTAACTTTAAAATGATTTGAAACTAAACCATTAAACTAAATGATTACCGAATTGTCCACTATTTGATAGTTAACCAAAGGGTAGGCTTTAAGCGCTTCTTTTAAGGCATTAATATTCTCTTTTGGAGTGAAGAACTCGAGATACGCCTGAATAGAGGGGAAAGACATTCTCATTATACCGGTACTGTTTTTAGACATTACTGTCATCTATATTAATACCGAATCCAAATAAAATACCTTTTGGTAAATATATCCGTTGGGAGCGCCCCAACCATGGATGGGGTGGTCAGAGGGCACTCCATTGACATTTGGCTGTGAATTAATGGTCAAAATTCCTCTTTTGTTCAATTGTGCCAATTGTTGGACAATGAGATCAGTTTCTGGTCGAAGTTCTTCCATATTCCACGGAATTATTGATACGCTTTGATTGCATTTGTTTGCACTTCTGGAGACATAGCAGTAGAAGACATGCCAAACGTCTTCCTCGCAATTCAGTTCTTTTCCCCACATTTCCAACAAATCGTTTCTACTTTTCTTTGCCTCCAGAAAGAGGTAGTAATCCTTGAGATCAGTGAAAGCGGGGGAATCTCCGCGACCCCACCGCCCGTTTGGGAATTCATCCCAAGTTTGTGTGCGATAGACATAACTTTTAGGTCTGACGGACCAGAATATAGGTCTCACATCTTCGGCACATCTCTTATGATTGGCCGCCGGAAGCCATGGCAACGGTTTCATGCATTTGGTCCAAAGACCCAATTGTTTGAGTATAGAAGTGGTCGCGAGTTCTCTGTTCAACGTATAAAAGTGAAGGCCAGGCGTCACATTCGCCGCTATTATTTGTCGGCACAGACTGACCGTCCAATCGATGCCATAGTTTCTGACGGCTTCGTCATTGTTTCGGATGGCATTTAAATCCGATACAATGGCGTCCGGAATGTCTAACTTCGAGAGCTTCACTATCTTTTCGAGTGAGTCATAGCTCTGGATCGGCATAATTCCGGCCAATACTGGAACTCCTATTCCTATGCGCCGACACTTTTGTACGAAATCTATGAATACTTGGGCCTTAAAGAAGAGTTGAGTGATTATGAAGTCCGCGCCGGCGTCCACCTTCTCCTTCAGGTACTTGAGATCCATTTCTTGAGATTCAGACTCGGGATGAGAACCGGGATAACCGGCCACTGCTATAGTGAAGTAATTGCCGTATTCTTGACGGATATATCGCACCAAATCAGACGCAAACCGAAACTCTCCTCCAGTTGTCTCTCCATACGTTTGGTCTCCTCTGAGGGCAAGAATATTACGGATTCCAAGAGTCTTAGCCCTCTCTAAATGGTTCGTCAGTTCATTGCGAGTGAGACCAACACAAGTGATGTGAAGCATAGTCTCTAATCCACAGTAATTGAGGGCAACGCCAGCGATGGTTATACTCGATGTCTCGCAATCAGAGCCCGGATTACCCGCCGAATGCCATGTGATATCACAGAACAGGGGATCCGATTGTCTGAAGCGATCCAATCGTGAGATCAGATTAATGGCCGCCTCTTTGGTCTTCGGAGGAAAGAACTCAAACGAGAAGAAGGGAGCGCTTGACGAGCGCTGTCTTCGGATAATGCGCTCAATGAGTGGCACATATCTGGTCTCACAGACACTCCACTCCTCTGTCATCTCATCACCCGATCAGACCTACCACTCACTCACTCGTCCACGCATTCACTGTTCAACGCTGTGGCGAATCCAATGCTCAGAGAGAGCACAGGGAGGACAGGGAGAGAGCGCTCACTATTTGAGTGACGATCAGCTGATCTGACATTTAACTCAAAAAAGCTGTGAATTGTTTGCTTTCACTCATCCATAGACGACGTGTTGTGTATGAATTGACCCCCAAATGAGTGCCCAATGGGAGTGTCCATGAGTTGAGAGACTGTCAGTGAATGAGTTGTTGTTGTAATTGATGTCTCAATTGAAATGCTTCGTCACGTTCTGTGCGATTGTATTCATAATTGTTGTCAAAGAAGTCATAGAAAGAGTGGTTTGCTATCAAAGCACGCAATCATTGCATTGAATCCACAATCCATTGAACCATTGGTCGAGTGATCGGTCGGTCGGTTGATTGCATCGGAATCAGTGGTCAGTCCTGTGATGGCATCGAAGGTAAGTCTTTGATCAACATTTGACTCAACAGTCACTCCACTTATGGTTGGCTTTTGTTTAACACTTTTGATGCGTTTTAATAATTGATTTGATTGTGACTTCACTTGAGATGACTATTAAGTGATTTGAATTGTCTTTTAAAGGATGAGATGAACGATGAAGTGAATCAAAACGAGTTGTCGCCCGAAGAGGTAACAGTAATCACACATTGATTTGATTTTCATTGAACTTAATTTCCATGAATTGATTGTTCAGTCATTCACTGTACTGAAGATGAATGACTGGAAGTGTTTGAATGAAGTGTTAATTTGTTGTCAATTACTTAACCAACAGTTGAGACGCAAACGGTTGGCCCGACTCGACGGCTCACAGCCTACTAATAGATCCCAAAACCCCTTAACTCCACAACAGATATCTGTTAGCAATGAGAATGAAGACATTGCTGGCAATCATTGTATGGACGGCTCAGACATGCCTAAGGATATGAAGTGTAGTGATGGCGGCAATCCATTGGATAGCTGTGCGGACAATGAGTCGATTATCAACAAAATGCCGGCCAATCCATTAAAAGATATCGAAAACAATGTCGAAAAGAATGACTTGATATCAGAACCTAAGATCTCTAAGTCGATGGATGTGGACATGGAATGCGAGGAAATGAAGATAAATTGCATACAAATGGATGAAAACGAGAAGAGAGAGTCACTAAAGCGGCCGCTCGACCGCAACGACACCATTGATGTCACCACTGCTCACGTTATAAGCGCTCATTCAGTCACAGAAACTCCTTCTTTGGATGCATTAAAGCTAACAATGATTTCGCGAATATTATCTGTGAAATGGCGACAAAGTCTGACCACAAATGAAATGTTTGTCTTAGAGTTGACTGAAACGGTCGACGAAACAAATTTTGATGATTTATTTCAAATTGTTTTAATGGAAACCATTAATCAAATCATGAATAGTTGTGATTATGAAAGCGCACTAAAAGTATATAACAGTTTAAAAGCTAAGAAAAGTTATACTCAAAACGGTTTCATCAGTGATAACAATGAGTCAACAAATGGCAGACTATATAAAACAAATGACAAGTCATGGCTCGTCCTCTCATATCTATTGGACTGTTTTGTCCGCGCATTGGCTGAGGAGAAGACCGTCCATTCCGGTGATCCCTCTTTAGCTGAACTCTTGACGAGCGTTAAGTCTCAATGCATACAATTCTCGACTCTATTGTTTACAAACTCATTGACAGTACACCCGACCCCTCAAACATATAATTCAATTTTGGCTCAATTTTTATTAAACCAGTCGTTGCCGACAGAGTTCTTGTCTGCACTCGTTTGCAGTACTTATACGACAAACTCTACAACTTTTAAAGCAATTTTTACACCTCTTTTACAACATTTATGGCAAGAAATGCAAAATACTTGCAGTTTAGCCAAAGACTCGACTTATAAGCCGCCACTCGAGGCCTTATTACAATTGACTCAAATCACTGTTAACGGCAAAGCTATTCGTCCCGTTTGCCAATTGGTGCGTCAAAACATACATTTGCTTTCGTTAACACTGTTTTGTAATACAAATAAACATTTACTAACAGATGACTGAACTAAACAACTGGTCGCCAGAACCTCTGAGTGATGCCATCGGCAAAGAATTTTCCAGATTCTCATATTTGGCTCCATTTTTGCGACTTTCGGTCTTCGCTGAAGACGATGTTAGTATTGAAAGACATTATTTAATTGAATCAATAAATGCTTGATTTTAATTGCTTTGAATATGATTGTAGATCCGAGTGGTCGACAAGTTCTTCTCAAGTCCTAAGACTGGTGTCGATAACACGAAACAAACCATTAGTGAACTGCAGTACCAATTAGAGTGCATTAGGAAAGATGTTTTGTTTCAAACATTTCACTCACTGTTGGTTAACACCAGTAGTCGTGAAAGTACTCTGAAGTTCATAAGCGAAGCCTTGCGCCGGAATAAAGAGCGCTCGCAATTGCAATCCGATGAACGACTGGTTTCTGGCGACGGATTTCTATTCAATTTATTATCCGTTCTTCAGTTGCTTTCAGTGAAAATAAAACGCGAGAAAATCGATGCCTTATATCAGTTCCATCCGAACAGTTTGGTTCCCCTTCGCAAAGATGAGTCGCGAATTAAGTTCACGTCAACGGAAGCGGACGAATGGTTGTCAGGACTGAACTCGAATGGAGGGCACAACTGGTCAGACGTGCAGTTCAACTCTCACTGCTTCTTCTTAACCCTTCACTGCCATCACATAAGTGTAATCCCGTGTCAAAGGAAATACATTCGAAGAATTCGAGCCATTCGTGATCTGAGCCGATATGCCCAAGAACTCACTGCAAGCACTTCTCAACTGCCAGTCCTGCCCCCAAATCACGCCAATAGGATCCGAAGAGTTAAGGAACAGGTGACCAAACTCGAGAAGGCTAAGACATGCGCCGAATGCGGACTCATTGATGAACGCCTTCTCGGACGGAGTCTCGCCTTTTATAACCAATTCATTGGTCTTTTACTGAAGTCAATCAACTGTGAGAACCACTCGACCATTGATCTACCACTGCCTCAAAAGGTTCCTCAAATCTTTGCCTCATATCCCGAGTGGTATATCGAAGACATCGCCGAGTTCTTATTGTTTGTCATCCAATACTGTCCACAAATTCTGGACCCAACTAATGGCAACTACGATGCCGTCAACTCTCAGGATTTGATTGTATTCATCAATGTTATGATATGTTCGCCGCAATACATCAGTAATCCCTATTTGACCGCAAAGTTCATTGAAGTGATGTTTGTGTCGAGTCCTATACTGCATAACTATACCCAAGAGTTCTACGTCCAGGTGCTCTCCCATTCATTAGCTGAGGTCCATTTGGCGCGTTCTCTCATGAAGTTCTACACCGACATTGAGTCTACCGGAGCCTCCAGTGAATTCTATGACAAGTTCTCCATACGATATCACATAAGCATTATATTCAAGTATCTCTGGACTAATGCTATCCATAAGATGGCAATCATCGAAGAGTCCAATTGTGGCAAACAATTCATTCGCTTCGTAAATATGTTGATGAATGACACGACTTATCTGTTGGACGAGAGTCTTCAGAGTCTGAAACGTATTCATGAGGTTCAGGAGGAGATGAAAGACAGGACAACCTTCGAGAAGCAGCCGCGCGAGCATCAGGTCTCACGACAACGATTACTGGCTAATGACGAGCGCCAGTGCCGTTCATACCTGACTCTGGCCAACGAGACTGTGGAGATGTTGCACTACTTGACCGAATCTATTCGGGACCCTTTCATGAAACCCGTTGGTCCTTCAAGTGAGTGTCTCACGTGATTGTCACTAATTGTGCTCTTATTATGACAGGAATTAGTGGATCGTTTGGCAGCGATGTTGAACTCGAATCTGCAGCAACTGTGTGGACCCAAATGCAATGCCTTGAAAGTAGCCAATCCTGAGAAGTATGGTTGGGATCCCAAACATCTGCTCAATCAGTTGACAGACATCTACATTCACCTCAATTGTGATCAATTCGCTCAGGTATGCATCCATGCAATCATGTGTAGTGCAAACTGTGTGTTAATGAGATGAGTGCACTGTTAGGCCATAGCATCGGACGAACGCTCCTATAAAAAGGATTTGTTCGAAGACGCGGCCAAACGAATGGAGCGCTCTTTGAACAAAAGTCAACATAAAATCGATTCATTCAGACATTTGACACAAAATGTGGAACAAATTCTTGAGAATAATAGGAAATACGAAAGTGAAGACTGGAGTGAAGTCCCCAATGAATACAAAGACCCGGTGATGGACACGTTGATGGAGGATCCGGTCATTTTGCCCACAAGTGGACACATTATGGATCGCAGTATAATTGTCAGACATGTGAGTCGTTATACCGTAACCATTTGTCTATAAGTTTAGACTTATTTGAAACTTTTGTTATAGTTGTTGAACGCGAGTACAGATCCCTTTAACAGACAGTTTCTGACTGAAGATATGCTTAAACCAGGTTTGCACACAATATGACTTCTGATTCAATTGATCATATTTACGATAATAATGTCTCAACTCTATAGCCACTGAACTGAAGGAAGAGATTCAGAAGTGGAAGACCGCGAGAATAACGGCCACTTTAGCACAACCACCTCCTGATGACGACAATCACTCAGATCCTAACCAATGATGAAACTTATATTAAAACTAATTATTATTTTGATTTTAAATTTTTTGTCAATTAGTAAGTCATTTAGAATTTATTAATACAATCAATTTTGCAAACATTAATGTACTCTAAACATTAAACTCTGATAAGTTTACAAATATACTAATTATTTATATTTATATAATAATAAAATATAGTTTAGTTTAACAAAGAAGTAAAGTATTTATAATTGAACTCAACATCTATTAAACTAAAGATTAGAGTCGAGAACGTCTGAAATGAAGTCGAGAGCGCTGTTCATGTGTTGGATCTTCACCTGACATAAGAAGAGAACTCGTAATTTGAATTCAATGTCTGACAACATTTGCGAATCAAATTGAGTTCTTCTCTTTGATAGTGTTGTCATTGAAAGGGTTTTAATCCAATGAAACACCAGTTTATTCCTCTGGAGGTTACTCTTGACTGTGAAGAGTTTGTGGATAAGAGGAGGACTCATATTGAGACAGATGTGACACACATTCACTGCAGTCATCGCCTGAGTTCTCTATAAAGAAAAAACAATTAATTAACTAAATTGTAATTGATTAAAAAAAAGTATACTTTATTTGGGTTTCGGGACAGAAAAGAGAGAACAAGCGCTCTAATCAGTGGCGGCATATCTTTAGGCGGTTCCGGGAGTTCTGACTCTTTATATGAAATACTTTGCAGACATTGTTGTCGTTCAGGATATGGATAGAAAGGATTTAATCCATTGAATAATTCATAAGCGATGGCACCGACAGCCCAAAGGTCTGAACTCGAGTAGTCGAGTCGCGCAAAAGGGCCGCTTTGAGCGCCGATTATCTCGGGTGCCATCAGTGCGCGATTGCCTCCGCGACAGACCTCATCGCACGGGAAGGGAAGGCTCAGTGATGTGAGAGAAAACCCAAAATCTGTAATCACAAGCCATGGGGTGTCGGAGTCGTTGCCAAAAGTAAGTAAAATATTATCGGTTTTAAGGTCTCTGTGAGTGATCTGGGATTTGGTTAAAAAGGAAATGCCTTCCAATAGCTGTGTCAACATTACGAGCGATGTCTGCGACGGTACTTGACGTGCGGACAGGTATTGCTTGAGAGACATATCGTATCGTTTCTCTACGATAAATAGAGTCATATTTCTCGCATATCCACCCATTCTTATGGGCAAAGCGTCGGGATATAAGTGAAGGGCGCCCTCCAGTTGAGGCGTTCTGTCCACGAATACACCCAAAATGTGGACAATGTTTGGGTGCGGAACCAATTTGTGACGTCTAGTCATCGGGTTGTCTGCGTTTGGCATAAAATCTCCTGTGAATGGAATGCATTCCTTATTCAATGCATTCCACACATCCGTGGCATTAGACTCGGCCTCGAAGTTGAACAACATTTTGATGGCCAACCAGTCTTTGGTGAAATCGTATCCACTCTTGAGTCGAGCCGAATAGACGACTCCATTACATCCCTTCGCAATACACGACCCAAACTCGATGTTATCCAAAGACAAGTCTTGTGTCTGCAATACATTGGACTCGAACTCCGACTGTCGGTACGAATGGAAGATATTTCTGATTTCCTGACAATTGGTTTCCATTTCATCGGTTTCTGTCATAAGTGTCGGTCCGTTGTGTTTGACACAAACGCCCACAAAACCCAACGACAGACCACTGCTTCCGATGATAGCCTTTGCGTTCACTTTACCCTCAATCGACTTCAAGACATACCGATTGATCAAAACCTTGTGTCCATTGAGTAAGCGATTGACGAGTTTATTCAAACTCGAGGTCTGTTTCAGTGGTGAGTCTGTTGTTTGCGAAATAATGCGAGTCTTGAGATCAGATGAGACCGATTGCCAACTGTTGGCGTAATGACCGGATGTGCGGCTCAGGAGGACTCTCAGCAATACTTTGGTCTTCGATAGAGTCATAGAAATCATGGATTTTATGGAAACCGAAGACTTGAAGAACGACTCGTGTAGGAGACCATCGGTGGTGCGGAACACAGACACTGACACCGACCGCATGCCTCTCATTGTGGACAAGGAATCACTCAATCAGATCCCACTTGAGCTTCAATTCAGTTCACAATTATCTCACCAAATAATCACTCGTTTTGTGGTTTAAATGGATTTCAAATCCAAACAAATATTGTTTTCATTTTTGCAAAACATTTCTATTTTTAGACATTTTTGAGACATTTATTGATGCGATGGTCGACACAAACACTAGTATTGCGTAACATTACAGACATCTATGAAGGGCTGGGGAGGGGTATAGGGGGTGAAGGGGTGCTCATCAACCGGTGCTTGTGTTCAATGAACCCATTATACTCTGAGCACACGTCCGTCATAGACACTGTATGTCCACGAATACCGGTGCAGTCAGTGGTCGGTAATTAAGGACAGACTGGCATATAATGTTTAATTAATACAATTGAATGCATGTCTTGAGGGGTCATTGCCTGCCCTCCTCTGCCCCCATAACAGGGATGTCGTACTAAATGGACGGACAGACAGATAGACAGACAGACTCAGAATGAGTGAACAAAAGTGTTGTCGAAATAGTCGTCCAAATCGTGCAAAGAGTGTCTGATTTGAGGAAAAAAATAACTTTTTGTGTGTTTTTGTGCTATAAATAAACGAAAAGTTTTGGAAACAAAGGTTTGAAGAGTTGAAGTGATTTGAAGTGATCTGAAGACAAGCACTGATTGTTTGCGATGAAGCTGACGATCACAACGATGACTGATCTGGTGTTCAGTCTGGAAGTGTCCGAAGACATGGAAGTCGAGAATCTGAAGGCTTTGTGTGAATTCGAGTCGGGAATCACTTCCAAGCAAATGGTGGTTATGTTTGCCGNATATCTTTAGGCGGTTCCGGGAGTTCTGACTCTTTATATGAAATACTTTGCAGACATTGTTGTCGTTCAGGATATGGATAGAAAGGATTTAATCCATTGAATAATTCATAAGCGATGGCACCGACAGCCCAAAGGTCTGAACTCGAGTAGTCGAGTCGCGCAAAAGGGCCGCTTTGAGCGCCGATTATCTCGGGTGCCATCAGTGCGCGATTGCCTCCGCGACAGACCTCATCGCACGGGAAGGGAAGGCTCAGTGATGTGAGAGAAAACCCAAAATCTGTAATCACAAGCCATGGGGTGTCGGAGTCGTTGCCAAAAGTAAGTAAAATATTATCGGTTTTAAGGTCTCTGTGAGTGATCTGGGATTTGGTTAAAAAGGAAATGCCTTCCAATAGCTGTGTCAACATTACGAGCGATGTCTGTGACGGTACTTCATGTGCGGACAGGTATTGCTTTAGAGACATATCGTATCGTTTCTCTACGATAAATAGAGTCATATTTCTCGCATATCCACCCATTCTTATGGGCAAAGCGTCGGGATATAAGTGAAGGGCGCCCTCCAGTTGAGGCGTTCTGTCCACGAATACGCCCAAAATGTGGACAATGTTTGGGTGCGGAACCAATTTGTGACGTCTAGTCATCGGGTTGTCTGCGTTTGGCATAAAATCTCCTGTGAATGGAATGCATTCCTTATTCAATGCATTCCACACATCTGTGGCATTAGACTCGGCCTCGAAGTTGAACAACATTTTGATGGCCAACCAGTCTTTGGTGAAATCGTATCCACTCTTGAGTCGAGCCGAATAGACGACTCCATTACATCCCTTCGCAATACACGACCCAAACTCGATGTTATCCAAAGACAAGTCTTGTGTCTGCAATACATTGGACTCGAACTCCGACTGTCGGTACGAATGGAAGATATTTCGGATTTCCTGACAATTGGTTTCCATTTCATCGGTTTCTGTCATAAGTGTCGGTCCGTTGTGTTTGACACAAACGCCTACAAAACCCAACGACAGACCACTGCTTCCGATGATAGCCTTTGCGTTCACTTTACCCTCAATCGACTTCAAGACATATCGATTGATCAAAACCTTGTGTCCATTGAGTAAACGATTGACGAGTTTATTCAAACTCGAGGTCTGTTTCAGTGGTGAGTCTGTTGTTTGCGAAATAATGCGAGTCTTGAGATCAGATGAGACCGATTGCCAACTGTTGGCGTAATGACCAGATGTGCGGCTCAGGAGGACTCTCAGCAATACTTTGGTCTTCGATAGAGTCATAGAAATCATGGATTTTATGGAAACCGAAGACTTGAAGAACGACTCGTGTAGGAGACTATCGGTGGTGCGGAACACAGACACTGACACCGACCGCATGCCTCTCATTGTGGACAACTCAACCAGCAATCACTCGATCAGATCCCACTTGAGCTTCAATTGAGTTGACAATTATCTCAGCAAATAATCACTCGTTTTGTGGTTTAAATGGATTTAAAATCCAAACAAATATTGTTTTCATTTTTGCAAAACATTTCTATTTTTAGACATTTTTGAGACATTTAATGATGCGATGATCGACACAAACACTAGTATTGCGTAACATTACAGACATCTATGAAGGGCTGGGGAGGGGTATAGGGGGTGAAGGGGTGCTCATCAACCGGTGCTTGTGTTCAATGAACCCATTATACTGTGAGCATACGTCCGTCATAGACACTGTATGCCCACGAATACCGGTGCAGTCAGTGGTCGGTAATTAAGCACTGATTGGCATATAATGTTTAATTAATATAATTGAATGCATGTCTTGAGGGGTCATTGCCTGCCCTCCTCTGCCCCCATACACAGGGATGTCGTACTAAATGGACGGACAGACAGATAGACAGACAGACTTAGAATGAGTGAACAAAAGTGTTGTCGAAATAGTCGTCCAAATCGTGCAAAGAGTGTCTGATTTGAGGAAAAAAATAACTTTTTGTGTGTTTTTGTGCTATAATTATACGAAAAGTTTTCGAAACAAAGGTTTGAATCGTTGAAGTGATTTGAAGTGATCTGAAGACAAGCACTGATTGTTTGCAATGAAGCTGACCTAGTGTTGCTACTGACTAGACCACAAGTCAGACCTTCACAGGCTTCTGTACCTTCAGCTCTTAGACTTCCGAAACACACTTAAGCTCAGCCCTTAGTGAAGGTTCGTTTACCACCAATACAAACGGCGCAAACCACTGCTCGAAGACAAACACGACCTCAAGAGCTATAATATCAAAGACGGAGACATTCTTCTAATTCAGAAGATTATGGGAACCGAAGGCCGACTCATGCAAACCGGTGGTAACCCCTCGCAGACACCAATCCTTCCAGATTTCAGCTCAATATCCATACCATCGATGAGCGGGTCATCGACACAGCGCTCCAATTCGAGCGGTTCTTCTCCGCAACAAATCCGCGAGACTTTGCTCTCAAACCCGGAACAGATCGCTCATCTCAAAGTGAATAATCCACAGTTGGCTGAGGCTCTGGAGGCAGGTCTCGAACAGTTCACTAAAGTTCTGGAACAGCAACAGAGGAATCGCTCGGAGGAGGAGAGGCGTCGCATAAGAATGCTTTTAGCGGATCCCTTCGACTCGGAGGCCCAGCGGATGATCGCCGATGAGATCAGACAACAGCAGATCGACAGCAATATGGAGACAGCGATGGAGTATTTGCCCGAAAGCTTTGGTCAGGTTTTGATGCTTTACATCGACTGCAAAGTGAACGGCTTTCCCATCAAAGCGTTCGTTGATTCCGGCGCTCAGTCGACAATTATGAGCAAAGCCTGTGCCGAGAGGTGTAATATCACACGTCTTATAGACCAGCGATGGTCTGGTATTGCCAAAGGAGTGGGAACTCAACGCATTATGGGTCGCATCCATTTGGTTCAGATTCAGATCGCCAACGACTACTTGGCCTCCAGTTTCACAATACTGGAGGACCAGCCCATGGATATGCTGTTGGGACTCGATATGCTTAAGAGACACCAGTGCGCTATTGATCTCAAACGCAATGTCCTCCTCATTGGCACCACTGGAACGGAAACACCATTTCTGAACGAAAACGAATTGCCAGAGTTTGCCAAACATAGGGCCATGTCTTCGGCAGACAATGAGAGCGAATCCGATTTAGACGAAGCCATCAGACGATCCATCAATGACTCACGTATTTATTGATTTGCTTTCATTAATACCGTACTATTTATTAACTATTGATGTGAACACATATCACTTCCAGAGCCCACTACGAGTAGTAAGAGTACAAACTTTCCGGAAAAGGATATCAAAGAATTGATGGCTTTGGGATTCACTAGAAATCAAGTTATAGAAGAGCTCCAGAAGTTTAATGGAGATAAAAACCAAGCGATGGCCGCACTGTTCGCTAAGTCTCTGTCAATTCCCAAATGAGACACACTTTTGATTAAAATAAGTAAAGTTATAGACAATTAAAAATTCATATTATATTTCAGCACTCATTCGACAGATTATTAATACTTTAACTTTTTTACCGGTTTATTGAATTAAAATCTAGATTTTTATATAACATTCATTGAACTAACGTTAATAGCAGTGTTAACTGTAATTTTTTAAAGACTAAATAATAATTATTTATTAAATGTTTTATATACAAATACTGTATATCACTAATTATTTACTTAAAAGATCTTTATATAAAACTTAATAATAAATAAATATATTATACACTTTACAGAATACCAATTATTGTACTGTATATTGCTTCAGAATCTTTCACAAAAATTTACAACTTTTGTAACTATAGAATAATTTCTTAAACTTTTATTTTACTTGACTACAAACCAATCTAAACTTAGCCATCTTATAGACTATTCGTCTATTATAATTACATTACAATTATTGTGTATTACCGTAATAAAATAGATCTAAAAATAATATTACAGTGTATTCTCATAAAAATCATAATTTTATAAATTATCTATTTATAGATATAGATTAAAATATCATCAAAATCATCAACTTTGTTGTTTGACTTAAAAATCGTATAATACGGTATATACCGGTAATACTGTACTTTTAGTGTCAGATAAAACTAGTTTTATTTTGCTGCTATATTACAGTAATTAAATTACACGATACAAATATTCCTAAACATCTAATGATCCATAAGCCTAAATAAACTTTGGTCATTCATAATCTCAATATGTGGTATATTATTTACTATAATCGTATCGATACTTATTTAGATGTCCATAGTATGGACTCCATACATACCAATGAACATAATATACATTATACCGTAAAACTATCCTTAAGACAGAAAATTCTTTATTCTTTATAACAATCAAAATAAAAATATTAAAATTATTTTTGTGATACAGTTATTTTCAAATTACAGTACTGTATAACAAGTAAATTTATACCGGTATACTGTATCACATTTTGAACTTCCGTTAAGACTCACGATTATAGTGACAGAATTAAAAATTTAACAAGTTCCTAAAATAATTTTCTGTAATCAAATAAAATACTAAACGATTCTAATTATAATTACAATAAATTTCCTTTAAAATAAATTAAATCATTGTAAAAATAGTTTAATTTAACAATAAACGGTATCAACATATTCTTTAATACAGTACTATAATAATATAACTGTATGTTTTTCTATAATAATTTCATAAATCATTTAAAGTGACTATTGTATTTTGTGTTAATATTTAATAACCTAAATTCTGTATTAATTAATTAAAACAATATGCACACATGACAGTACAGTATAAAAATTGAATATTTATTATATAACCACAGTGATACTATGATAAAATTACAATACAGTTATAAGTGGGTTAATAGTGATTATAACCATTAATGAAATGATAGCCTTTTATTCTATAAGTTGCTAATATTATATAAATAGATAAATAGATATTGTTAACACTTAAAAAACGTATTTTAATAATAAATTCACTTAATATAGTGTACAAGTATACTGGTATATTTACAGTAATATCATTACAAAATATAACGTACAGTATAA